GTCGTCGAGATCAAGGGAATCGGCTCGATCATCTTCAAGGCCAAGACGGGGGAGCACCGCCTCCTCACCGGCGTGTACTACATCCCGGCCTTGAGGAACTCCATCATCAACGTCGGGTAGCTAGATGAGAATGGCTCTCGGGTGGAGATCGAGGACGGCGTGTTGTGTACCTGGGATAGAAGCCGTTGTCTTCTCGCCAAGGTGAACCGGGGAAGCAACCGCCTTTACGTGCTTCATGTGCAGGTGTCGCACCCCTTTGCCTTTGCCATGCGCCGGGATGATGAGGCGTGGCGCTAGCATGAGCGTTTCGGGCATCTTCACTTTGAGGCCCTGAAACAGCTCGGCAAGGAGGAGATGGTCCGCGGCATGCCCTGCGTCGACCACGTCGAGCAGCTCTGCGACACCTGTGTGGTGACCAAGCTGAAGCGTCGGCCCTTCTCGCGTCAAGCCTCCTACCGCGCCATCGAGCAGTTTGAGCTGGTGCACGGCGATCTCTGCGGTCCAGTGTCACCGGCCACTCCTGGAGGTTGGCGCTACTTCCTACTGCTCGTCGACGACGCCACCCGCAACATGTGGCGGGGCCGTGCTGCTTGACTCCAAGGTGGCAGCTGCAGACGCCATCAGGCACCACCAGGCAGCCGCGGAGAAGAAGTGTGGCCGCAAGCTCCGGGTGCTTCGCACGGACAACGGCGGCGAGTTCACGGCGGCCGAGTTCGCGGCATACTACGCCGACGAGGGGATTCAGCACCACTACTCCGTGCCCTACTCACCACAGTAGAACGACGTGGATGAGCACCGCAATCAGACGGTGGTGGTAGCGGCACATGCCTCCTCAAGCAGCGCGGCATGCCGACGATCTACTGGGGCGAGACTGTAATGACCGTTGTACACCTGCTCAACCGTTCGCCGACCAGTGCTCTCGCCGGCAAGACGCCATATGGGGCCTAGCACGGGCGTAAGCCGGTGGTCAGCTATTTGCGCGTCTTCGGTTGCCTCGCCTTCGTCAAGGAGCTGAACCACATCGGCAAGCTCGACGATCGCAACTCGCCAGGGATCTTCATCGGCTACGCAGAGGGGCTAAGGCCTACCGCATGCTCGACCCGGCGACACGGCGCGTGCGTACATGGCGCGCGACGTCGTGTTCGATGAAGGACGTGGCTGGGCATGGGACAAGGCGGTGGACGACGGGTTGGCGGCCGCGCTCCGTGACTTCACCGTCGAGTACGCGTGGGTGGGCAGTGCTGAGGGAGCACAAGGTGCATCCTCATCGACGACTGGGTCTTCATCACCAGCGCCGACCTCTTCATCAACTCCGCCGTTCTCGCCTTCACCAAATCCGAGGGAGCTTAGAAGCCCATCAGCGGTGGTCGGCAGTCCATCGGTGGCGATCGGGAGATCACCGGAGAGCCAGCCGACCTCTCCAGCGCACCAGCCGGCCTCCCGGCATCTTCTACCTCGCCCGCTGTGACACCAGCGCACGCCGGGCAGCCGGAGATCGAGTATGCGACGCTGCTGGAGGATGATGAGACCGCCTGGACGCCTACTACGACGATGAGCCCCTCGGTACCGCACGGTGGCGAACATCCTCGGAGAGCAGTCTCCACCGGACCAGCCCAAGCGGCTCTTCGCCTAGCTATATCTGACGCCCGCCGGTGAGCCGACCACTTATACTGAAGCGCAGGGTGATCCGGCGTGGCGGGCGGCGATGGACCAGGAGCTCAAGTCCGTCGAGCAGAACCGCACCTGGGAGCTAGTGCCACTGCCTGACGGCCACCGCCCCATCACCCTGAAGTGGTTGTTCAAGCTCAAGAAGGACGAGCTGGGAGCGGTGATCAAGCACAAGGCGCGGCTGGTAGCGCACGGCTTCATCCACCAGGAGAGATCGACTACGACGCCGCTTTCACCCTCGTGGCGCGCATGGAGTCAGTCCGCGTCCTCCTCACGCTGGCGGCTCAAGAGGGGTGGCAAGTCCACCACATGGACGTGAAGTCCGCCTTCCTCAACGGCAACCTCAAGGAGGAGGTCTACGTGCACCAAACACTAGGCTACACCGTCGCCGGAGAAGAGGGGAAGGTGTGCCGCTTGCGTAAGGCACTCTACGGCATGCGCCATGCACCACGCGCCTAGAACGCGAAGCTCGACGCCACACTCAAGAAGATGGGCTTCAAGCAGAGCGCGCACGAGGCGGCGGTGTACCGGCGGGGCAGCGGATGCAATGTCCTACTGGTCGGCGTCTACGTCGACGACCTCATCATCACCGGTGCTGAAGAACAGAAGGTGGATGTGTTCAAGGCGCAGATGAAAAAGGCGTTCGACATGAGCGACCTCGGCCTCCTCTGCTTCTACCTCGGCGTCGAAGTGCGCCAGGACACCAGCAGGATCGCCCTCCGCCAAACCCACTACGCTAAGCGCATCCTCGAGCTCGGCGGCATGACAGGCTGCAATCCGGCCCACACCCCGATGGAGGAGAAGCTCAAGCTGAGTCGAGAGAGCACGGAGGAGGAGGTCGATCCAACCCATTACCGGCGGCTGATTGAGAGCTTGCGCTATCTGGTCCACACTCGGCTGGACATCGCGTTCGCCGTCGGGTACATGAGCCGGGTCATGGAGCGGCCGATGATGGAGCATCTGCAGGCCGTCAAGCGTATCCTGCGCTACGTGGCGGGCACCCTCGACTATGGTCTTCACTACAGAAGGGCCCCCGATACGGCGCGATTCGTCGGCTACTGCGACAGTGACCTCGCCGACGATGTGGACACCAGCAAGAGCACAACCGGGACGATGTTCTTCCTCGGTGATTGCTTGATTAGCTGGCAGTCCCTCAAGCAGAAGGTGGTGGCCCTCTCGAGTTGTGAAGCAGAGTACATCGCCACCACCACTACAGCAACTCAGGCACTATGGCTGTCAATGATGCTGACAGAGCTCCTTGGCAGAAAGGTGGATGTGGTTGAGCTGAAGGTGGACAACAAGTCTGCTCTAGCTCTGTCTTCTATGAGAGAAGCAAGCACATCCGCATCAAGTACCACTTCATCAAAGATTGCTTGGAGGACGGGAGCATCAAGGCCAGCCATATTGCCATTACTGATCAGCTGGCCGACATTCTCACCAAGTCGCTGGGAAGTCTAAGTTCCAAGAGATGAGGGAGAGGATTGGGCTGCAATAGATCGCTTCCAGTGCTCGGCACAAGGCTTAGGGAGAATGACAGATAAGCCTAGTGCTCGGCAACACTTGTATCTTACTTTTCTGTATTTTACTTTCTTTGACTTCCAAGCCTTTATAATAGAAATATACTCAGCATCCACTTTAGTGGTTAGAAAATATGTTGGAGCAGGTAGAAAGTAGATGCTGCCCTCTGCCCATAAGAGCAGGGGCACACCCTTATATCAGGACAAGCGGCCAAGGATTAAGCTACCCTCTGGTGGTTCCCCAAATCTGAATCTGAGATCTATTTTGGGCCAACACTTTCTAGAAGAAATGAGTAATGCAACATAGCAGTTCCAACTCCAAATATCAATAGTTAACGGAACAATAAAATGAATCTAGGTGTATTTAACTGCCAGCAACTAGCAAAACTTTAAATTGATGACCACAAGTTGGAATGTTGGATGATTAATTGGGGCTCTTGCATTTATACCCTTGTTTTGTATTGAAATTATAATTTTGCCCCTATTTTTTAACTTTGTGAATTTGCCCATGCGTTTTCAAAACGAAGCACCACTTTGCCCCTATTCCGTCATCCTCACCTAACGGTGTTAACTTTTATACAAATGACAACTATGCCCATATGATTTTGCCCCTAGTTTTTATGGTTGTTTGTGATTTTACCCCTGATTTGGAATAAGACATTTATATTGTATTTTAACAAAAAATGGTTATATTTTACTAAATATATTTGGCACAATTTGCAATGATTTCAAATTAATTCATCCTCAAATAAAAGCAAGTGTGAAGTTCCTCAGAGTTTTTGGTTCCTGTCTTCACGGTCTACATCAGGAGCCAATCGGGGTGTGGATGCTTCTAACAAATTGAACGATAATGTAGTGATTGCTACTGAAATCCACATTTCCACACAGCCAGCAGGCAACATACATCGTCACATTCATCAAACTAATCTTTACAAAATTATCTACTACTACTAGTAGGCAGTAGCTAGCATTCATACGAATACGAACGGGTCAGCCTAAACTACAGAGGTCGCCCCTCCGACTGCAGCTCCAGCAGGAAGCTACGCCTGGCCCAGGGCCGCCCCTCCATCACCGGCAGCTCCAGCAAGGAACCGGCGCCTGCCCTGCTGCGGTGGCTCCAGTAGGCTGCTGCTCCTGTCCCACCGCTGCTCCTCCAGAGGGCACCAGGCAAGGGCGGCGCGGCAAGCGCAGGCGAGTGAGCTGGTGTGCCGCCGACCGAGGCCGCCCCACCTCCACCACTGCAAAGCAAGAGTGCGAGCGGCCGGACCAGGACGGCTGGCGAGGCCACCTGCGTCCTCTCGCGTGAGGGCACAAGACAGCCACAGAATGGTCTCGGCGCCGGCAGAGAGGCCGCCCAGCGTCCTCCAGCGCGATGAAAGCGCACGCCGCCGCCGCCGCCAAGCGTCCGTCGTCGCTGCTTATTTTCCGCCGCCGATGTACCCCGCCTTGGAAGCGCCCCTGACGCAGCCGCCGCCGCCGGACCCCGCCTCGGATGCGCCCCCGATGCAGCCATCGCCCGAGAAAGCCCGCGCCTGTGTTTTCCTTCTGGTCAGATGGGGGGAGAGGCTGATAAGGGGCAGTTGGTCTTTTTCCTTTTGTGTTTACAGATTTTGCATTTTTTAAACCATTTATTCTATCTTTATCTAACGGACATCCAAAGCAGAGGCAAACGGAGGATTCGTTTCAAAATAACGAGGGCAAAATCACAAAGTTTAAAAAACAAGGATAAAATCACAGTTGGACTGCTGGAGAAGGGCAAGAACACAATTTTCCCATTAATTAAACACGTATGCAAACCATAAGCAATCTGTGCTGTCACACATTAGCATTTATCCAAAACTTCCCTCCAAAAGTAAGTATTTGTTCAAAACAGAACACGACTTCAGAGATCTCACCACTGCCAAAACCACCACCAGATGAAGCTGCACCAGCAAAACCACCACTTTTGGAGGCAAGAGCAGCAAAACCTCCACCAGTAGCACCAGCAGCAAAACCACCACCTGCAGAAGCAGCGGGTGCTGAAAAGCCCCCACGTGATGCAGCACCAGCAAATCCAGCATTACTTGAAGATAAAGAACCAAAACCCCCAGATGTAGAAGCACTAGCAAATCCACCAAATCCTCCAGAACCTACGCCTCCTAACTGGCGCGATTGTTCAAAAGAACCCAGCACTGATCCAAGTGCCTGTTGAGCACCAAACTGTGCAGGCTGCCCAAATCCTGACTGGACAGCCCCAATTTGTGCAGGCTGGACAAATCCAGACTGTTGCCCAGATCCAATTTGTGCTGACTGACCAAAACCAGATTGAATTTGTGCAGGCTGACCAAAACCAGATTGAATTTGTGCTGTCTGCCCAAATCCTGCCTGCTGACCAGCTCCAATCTGTGCAGGCTTCCCAAATGCTGACTGCTGGCCAGATCCAATTTGTGCAGGCTGTCCAAATCCAGTAAGCCCACTTGAGAACGAACTAGAAAAAGAACTAGAACTAGTTGATTGAGATGGTTGGGCTGGCTGAGCTGAAGGAATGCTTAGCGACGCCGGCCGGAAAAGCTGTCCTGGACTGGTTGTCAAAGTAAATGGTGTGCCTGAACTTTTATTGTCAGATGCACCAAAAGGATTAGACTTTTGAGGACTTGATGAAGAAGGCTGGGACCCGAGGCTGAATCCACCAAGGGCTCCCAAGTTGAGTTCGGCACTTGCAGAAGGCGCCTCCTCTTCCATATCGTCTTCATCGGTTGAGATGGTGTCAGTGTTTGGTCCTACATCTTTTCCTGTGGAAGTGACAACTGATTCTGATGCTGTTGGCGCTGTTTTAGGAACAGAGACATGAGTAGAAGGCAAGCTGGCGCCAGTTGTTGGAGGCACTGAAGGTTTGCTTTCAGTGGTCGATATGACTGAAGTCGAACTTGCAGAAACTATGGTACTAGTTACCTCTGATATTAGTGTTTCAGGTTTGGAAGCATTTTGACTCAAACCAGTTGACGAATCCTTAGCAAGAGTAGGGACTGAGCTAGACACAGTATCCCCAGATACTGTTGGAGAAACTTTCTGCATTGAGCTAGATAAAATATTCGAAGTTTTCGCACCTGATGAGGCTGAAGAGGAAACAGTCGGCCTTAAGGAGTATGAATTGGTCTGAGTAACAGGAGCTGGCGAGAATGCAGAAGGTTGAGGTGCCATTTTGGGTGTATCTTTCACAGTGTTCTGTACAGCATCGCCAACCCCACTTAGCTGGTCAGTCTTCTCATGTAATACAGCAGACTTGGAATGAAGCACCCGGTCCTTTTATGTTCCCCAAAGATGGCATTGACTGACTATCCTGTCTGTTCTTCATAGTTAATGTAGGCAAATCTCCAGACTCCCCAGTAGTTTTCACAGACAGTGGACTCTGAGAAGTTTTTGCAGCTGTTATGGAAGGTAAGATATTTGGCTCTGTGTGGGCATTACTTTTAGGGGTTATAGTGGTTTTGAAGGTTAGAGTATTTGGCTTAGACACGGTATGTTTTGTTCCAAAGGATGGAACACTGGATGGGTTGATACTATCTTGTGCACCCATACGTGTGTAACTGAATGATGGTGGTGAAGATGGTGTCAATTTTGAAGATTGTGCAGTGCTTTTCATTTGCCCTGGTAACTCAAAATGCTTTTGCTCTGACATTTGAGATGACCCAGTTGATTCCTTTACCCATTTGAACAAAGGGTTCTGTTGGGGTCCTGACGGTTTTTCTTTTACATCTGAAACTGTCAGAAAATGTTCCAAGTTAAGAATTACAAAGACAGATGATATAATAAGAATCTTTGTGATCTTAATAGAAACCCCATAAAATTGATGTCTAAGGCTTGTAAAAACTTACCTTCACTCAGAGAACGCAGTCTGCTTACATATGATTCTACTATAGATGAATTGGAGCTATCGCTTGACTTTTCCTGTGATATTGCTGCCATTTGAGAATCAAATATTTTCTTGTTTGACCTGAATGGTAGATCACTGCTGATCTTGAGGCGTTGTTGCTGTGCTATTCTTTTAACAGTTGTTTTCTGAGGTTCCAAACTAGCCAGGCTCTAAAAAATTGACAAATAATTTGTAGTCAGATTTATTGCTTATCCACCACTGCACCACATGAAGAACAATATGTAATAAAAAACAAAGACCCACATCTTCTTTCCAAGTCATGTGCATGTTACATGAGAAAATGCAATGTTTTGGGTTTAGGCTCAATAACTTACCATATCCAGTGATTCTCTCCTCCTTCGAGCGGTCTCAGGCTCACCACTCCTGGAAGGCCCTAATATTCCCTTTGAATGCTCATTCACCGATGGAAACCGCTTAATTGGCTTAGGAGTGCTGCCTGAAAATTTGGTTGCATCAGTTGTGTGGGCTAAACCAATTGACTCAAACAACTGTTTGGTCACCGCCCCCTGCTTCCTAGTAGGAGAACCAATATTTAACACAGATATCTGCTTTGAAAGGCATTCAGATAGCTGCTCAGCAGCTGCCAACTGCGAGTTCAGTGCATTATATACGCTGGATAATTGTGTCTGACTGAAAAAGTAAAAGCGAGAAATAGGTTAAAAATCATCGTATTCATGAAAAGATCCACAAAAGAAAAGGTGAAACAAAACACACAAACTATTGGAATATAGAGAATTGCACTGACCACGTAAATACTTACAGCCTGTTAACTTGCTCTACGATCAAATTTCCAAACTGTTTTCTCACACCAAACCAGCCAGTTATAATCCAGAAAGAGCCTCCCGAAAAAAATTAGTTATTATCTAGAAAGAGCATCTAAAAAATAGCAAAGCATACTATATAAGTATATAGCTTAATCGATATGAGTGATGCTAACCATACAATGTGCAGAGAATTTGAGTTTGTTACAAACAAAAAAATACAAAGCAAAAGAGTATTTTCATCAAAATATTCTGATGAGAACTGTTAGACTAGCACCTATAGGGCCGGCCATGGGCCTTGGCGCCCACGCCTTGTGGCTGGGCTGCCTGTTGGGATTATAATAGTTGATCTCAGATTAGGCAAGGATCTCCGTTGATTGGGTGTATTCTATAAACCCTACATGATCCTTGCCTATATATTGTACCCTCTTGTACACATATGAATTAATCTATTATTCCCGAGCCATATCCACTTTCATGGTATCAGCCACCTAGGTCTTTTCCTTCCGCTGCAACTACTCGAGCGCCGGCTCTCGCCTTGCAGCGCCCCTCTCCCTTGCTCGCCAGTTTCCATGTGCAGCGCCCCCCATGGCAGCACACCCCTCGTCCACCCCTAAGGCTGGGGATGACGCCACCTCTGCTGCCGCCACCACCCTCACCGCCGCCCAGCTGGATGAGATGAACCAGCGTCTCGCCAAGGAGAAGGCGAGTGAGGCTGCTGCTGCCGCCCAGCGCCAGGCCGCGCGCGACGCCGCCTTGGTCCGCGCCCTTCGGGCTGAAGATAAGGCCGCAACTGCCACCAAGGAACGCGACGCCGTGGCCCAGCGCGCCAGCGAGGCCCTGGCGCACGCTGCCAAGGAGCGCGCGGCCGCCACCGCTGCCTCTACCGACAGCGAGTCCTCCACAGCAGCTCCGGCACCCACTGACCTCCACTCTGCCATGCTGCTTCACGAGGGGCTGGCCCTCTTGAACCTGCATGCCCAGCGGTCGCCGTCAACAACATCCGGACTCACGTCACCATTATCCTCGACGTCGACTCCGGCAACTTCAACCGATGGCGCGATCAGCTTCATGCTGGTCCTTGGCAAGTTTTCCCTCCAGGATCACGTCTGCCTTCCCCCTCCGGCCCATGTCTCCCCAGACTGGACTCGGATGGACTGCGTCGTCAAGTCCTGAATCGTCGCCACGCTCACCGACGACCTTGCTGAAATCGTCTCCGCCCAGGGCTCCACTGCCCGACACGCTTGGCTCGCCGTCGAATCTCAGCTTCTCGGTAACCGGGAGGCGCGCGCCATTCATCTTGAGACGAAGTTTCGCAACTTCGTCCAAGGCGATCTCTCCATCATCGACTATTGCTACCGCCTGAAGAAGATGGCTGACGATCTCACGGCCCTTGGCGAGGTCATTACTGATCGCACCCTCGTCCTCAACGTGATCCGTGGCCTCAACGAGTGCTTCAGCCACGTCGGGGCCCTCCTTCGTAGTGCTCGGCCCTTTCCCTCCTTCCTGGACGCGCGTGACGACCTCATCCTCGAGGAACTCACCCTAGAGAACCGAAAGGACGCCCCTGCCACCGCACTCGCTGCCTCTACCACGTCGAGCTCTCCGAACCTTGCCCCACCGTCGTCTGGCACGGGCTCCGGAGGCGCTGGCGGCTCCAAGTCCTTCAACAGCCGTCGCAGCAAGCGCGGCGGCGGTGGCAAGGGCGGTACCGGCAGTAGCAGCACTGGAGGACAGGGTGGTCCGCGGCCTCCTGCTGGTGCACAGCAGCAGGCCAGCAACACGCAGCAGCAGGCTGGCGCTCCTCAGCCCGCCGCCGCCAACCGGAATTGGCCTACCATCTACAACCCCTGGATGGGGTCCATCCAGATGTGGCCGGGGGGGCCTCGACCTCCGCTGGCGCCCCTCCCGCTGCATCCACAGCAGCAGGCGCTGCTCGCCCAGCAGCAGCATGCTGCTGCCCCTACTGCCACCGACGGCACCAGTCAGCGGGCTGCGCCGGGTTGCTACAACCCTGTTGCCGGCCTTCCTTCTTGGGATCCGTCAGCCCTCGCCTCCGCCTTCAGCACGACGTCGCTGACTCCACCTCCGTCCAACGAGTGGTATTTCGACTCAAGTGCTACTTCACACATGACCTCTCAATCCGCTTCCCTTTCGCATGTTCTTTTCCTGCGGTATCCTACTCCTTCATCTATTATTGTCGGTAATGGCTCTATTCTTCCTGTCACTGCCACTGGCTCCACAGAGTTGTCTCCCGCTTTACGTCTTAATAATGTTCTTGTTTCCCCACAAATTATTAAGAACCTCATCTCTGTTCGCCAATTTACTACCGATAATAATTGCTCTGTTGAGTTTGACCCTGCTGGTTGTTCTGTGAAGGCTCTTCCGTCTCGGACCGAGATCGTCAGGTGCAATAGCTCCGGACCACTGTACCCACTGCGCCTCCCTCCAGCACACTCCCTTGTCGCCCGGGCTGCCTCAGTTTGAGAACCAAGACAGTGATGGTTAACTTCAGTTACAACATTGCATCAGTGATGGCTAGCAAATAACTAACTTTGCAAAAAAAAAGCTAATGCTTCAAACTTCAAAGCAGAATGCATAAAGACCTCAGAGTAAACAATGCATCTGAAGATAAAATATAATATTTTTGCATTACTATTGATGTACACTTGTACAGACCTCCAATAAATTTAATGTAGTCAGCCTTGTTAAGGAAGAATTTGTTGTTGTTGTTGAGGCGTTGTTAAGAGTAGCTGTTAGAGAAAATAGATCACGAAATTACTCTATTGTTGTGACTGCAATTTCCTTTATTTTGAAACTTGTAGCATGTAAGTAATGGACATGTTTTCATTTGCCTGTATCATCTATGCTATAACATTTGGAAACTACAGAGTACAGAATCATCATAGAACAATGAACATTCTCACCAGTAAACACCGAAGCGTCATTCATACGACTGAACTTCACTTAAGTGGAATCAATTAGTTTCTATAGTGAAGTACATGACATATTTCACACACTAAGAATGTCATAGCAGCAGTTCATGATATGTGTCTCAAATTCAAATGCGTTAGGAATAATATTAGGAAAAGACATGGACCTGCATCGACGTTTTCCATCACATCCTTCAGGCCTTCACCCAAACTCCCATGACACAGCAACCCACCATTTGAGAGTACAATATATGATGCAGAGGCATGATTTAACCACTTGAAATCTTTCACAGTGCCAGCTCGTCCCAGGCTACATGATAAGGATGGTACCACATCCTGTGCAGCGCAATTGTTAAGAAATGTTATAATCTTGACAAAAGCCATAACACCTTCTCTAACAGAAGCTTGTGAATAAGCTAATGGCGCTGAAAACAGATCAGATCAATAAACAGCACAATGCAGGGCTTATCCAGCAGCGTGAAAGGAGTAACCAATGCTGAACTCCCACAAGCCCTACTACTCAGAGAGAAGCATCATGGATATGCCCCTATTCCATTACTGACTATAGTGCTCTTACATGAAAAAGTCACTCAAGTTTGTGAAGAAACTAAATTAATCAGTCCCGTCGACTAGTCTTCTCATTTCACGTATTACTGCACTAGCCTATATAGAAATCCAGCATGCACAAATTTTGCAGAGATCCTGAGGAAAACTGAAAACCTTATGTGTGAGCAGAGACGCCAACGAGAAGAACTGGATCTCAGTATCTGTGCAGGCGGCTAACACAGACTCATCATGGGAGAGCGCGATGAGGGATACACCAGGGAGGGGCACGTCGGCGACGTAGCAGTCCTGCGCGCAGCGGGTGCTCGCCTTTCCCTTCTCGCGCGCCTCCTTGCTGGCTTCGATCAACTCCTTCGTCCTCACAGCTATAAACCCTGTAAACGGAATGAGAAGCCCTAGTTAGGCGGTGAGGTCGAGACGGGAACGCCGAGCGGATTAAACATTCGGCTCGTTGATACCGCTGGGGTGGGCGAAGAAGACGGTGGCGTGGCGGTCGGCGACGACGAGCGGGCGCGCGGGAGGGGGCAGCAGGTCGAAGAGCGGGAGCGGGTTGGAGTCGGTCGGGAGGAGCGGGATGGGGTCTCCGGCGAGGCGGAAGACGAAGTCGGTGGTGCCGTCCTCCTCGCCCTCCACCTCGCCGGAGAGCTCGAGCTCGCGCGGCGCCCCCATGGCCAGCGGGCGCGCGCGGGTATGCGATGCAAAAAGGCAATTAGTAGTAAGTGCTGCAACCTGCAACTGCAATGGCAATGCCGCCTTGTTGCTCTACAGGAGCCAAGTGTTTCGGCCAAAGTCCATGCTCATCTTTGATTTGCATCTTTCAACTTTCAAGCATAGTTTACACGGATTGTAATCTCATCCATGCGTACTAGTAGAACCTTGTACTAAGCCGATCTTGTGAATGAATGTAACGGTGCCATTCCCCACTCCCCAGTGACCTCTATTTTTCAGCGCAGCTATGAGTCAAGTCCAACACAGAAACCGTTTCTGATACAATACCACACGAAAACTGGTGTACTAGAAAACAGTACCATGTACCATTATATACAATTGGAGCAGGATACACATGTGAATTTTGTTCGTTAGACGCAGAGGGGCTACACGTTCCGTGCGAAAAAACAGACTTCTTGAATCTAGCCGAATCCATGGGTATCTCCATGACGCGTATTGGCTACTGATAGGATCCCTTCTGCAACCTAAAATTTCAGGAATCTTCCGGCGGCGGCTGCTCTCTGCTTCTCAATCCTGTGCTTTCCCTTGCACTAAAGCCATTACTTCATACATAACTTGATGTCTAATTGCCGAGAATATTTGGTTACCCCTCACTATATCGATGCTTTCCACCTTCTTGTCTTGAAAGTTGTAATGAAGCACTAATCGTACTTGAATAGCATCGTTCAAAGATTACCACGTGGCCTTCAAGGAAGACGACAAGAATGTTGTCGACAATATATGCAAAACAACATCGTTCAAAGAAGAAAACCCTATAAACAAGAGAAAACCAGAAACATCAGCATCTCTGTTCCTTTTATAAACCAGTTAAAAAAGAGCCTCCAGCTTCGTAACCATGGTTTTTTTAATCGGGAGTCTCTCCTAGCTTGTAGAAATATGAGGGTTGGAAACTAATTGGCCACTGCTACAAGCCTACAACTAGCTGCCGCAGGAAGCTTTTTACATTTACTAGTTATCATCAACCATAAATAAATAAGAAAAACTAATGCGGATACACTCAGGTTTGGCAGGAATGCGTGCTCTATTCAAATCTTAAGTGGAGATAAAATGATCTTGTGTATACTATTGAATATAACACCACTTTCCTATAAAAAAAATTAACACCACTGAACCAGAGAACTTCCAATGTACCACATGAGTCTAGAAAAGAGACTAGTGTTCGTTTTCTTGGGTAGAAAAAAAGTAGCAAATCCGGGTAGGAAAAAAAGGTAGCAAGCGCTGCTGTTCTAAATAAGCACAAGTATCGTCTCTCATCAGTTAGGGTCTATTGTCTTTGTGAGCAAACATTAAAAAATACTACACATCTGTAGTTCAGATCACAGGAAAAAAAATGTAGCAGTGCCTCTGTGCAGTTCGAGAACATCTCAGGTGCTTACATTAAAAAAAAAGGCATCGAAATGTGTACGACATGTTCCACCAAAAACGAGGGGATAGACGACATGGTTTGTGTTCATGCAAAATTTGAGATGCAACAAAAATATGTGCAAGGAGATACAAAAAGGTGAAATCAGCAACCCACAACTTGCAGTTCATATCGCAGAAAAAAAATGTAGCAGTAGCTCTGTATAGTTCAGATCACAGAAAAATGTAGTCGCGGCTCTGTGCAGTTGAGGTCATAGAAATCAAGAACATCACATCAGGAAACACATGTGCATGTAGATAATTACTGAGATTATACACAGGAAGATCTAGAGTTTACATCTCATCATTTTGCCTACGTGATTGAAATGATCCAAAAGTCAAGGAATCTCTATCACAGCAGTAGAGAAATAGAATAATCTTACAGAATGCTAGTCCTAGAACAAGCAGAAATAATCATAAAAGAAAAAACTTACAACAATATGTGCAGGCTTCCTTAAACAAGTTGAGCAACTTCTATTTCTGCAATGGTAACCTCAGTTCATGTGCTTTGATTTTGTTTCAGTGCCTCCATTTTTGACAATAACTCCCCAATGCTAGCTACCATCCTAGTTTTCATGCTGTGAAATTCATGGTGTGTTCTTTCAATGACTTGGAGTTCTTCAATCTTTCGCTTGCGCTGCTCTTGTAACTCATTTATGTCAAGATCAGCAATTTGGGTGGCATAATCTTCCTCAATTCGTGCATTTTTTACCATAACAATATGTCTCAGATTGTCAACTTCATTGCGTGCATCATTTGCACATTCCTGGTACATATACGCTTCAGCCTGCTTTAACCTGATCAGGCTATCCAGTTCATCAGTGGCAGGCTTATTATCAATTGTCTGAAACTTAGCTTCACCAGATTTTCTAGGCACAGATGGGCTCCCTGTGGTAGGAAGAGCAGTTGTTTTGTCTAAAACTGGAAGTCCCTCTAAGGTAAATGGTATCCATGCTGCCTTCCGACTTGAACTAGGAATCCCATCAATAGCTTCAGAAATGCTGCATGGAATTCCTTTGAGTGGTACTGATGGATCAATGCCAAAGTTAGCACCATCATCTGAAATTGGAAAGTGAAGAGTTAGTAAAACTTTGTTTGATGACAAATGATAGCATGTATATTTACATTTCAACATCATAGTCATTAGAGCATGGATACCTACCCCTTGCTAGGTGCTATACTGCTACTAAGTATGAACTATGAGTTGGATGATGATGCCACTTCAGTGGTCTTTTGGCCCAAGGCACTCATCAGATAGCTTTTGTAACCCTTGCTAGTGGTGCTATGAAGTATGAACTATGAGTTGGGTGATGCCATTTTCAGTGGTCCACATTATGTAAACTAGAAAGCCCACAAGCCAGTCTATTACTCTAGCTATGTAGATCAAGCAACAAGTGGCAGTAACCCAGTTATTAATCCTATTTCTCCCAAAGAAGAAAACATCGCATGGAACACAATAAAAAAGAAGCTTAAACGACATGTTAACTATGTTGAAGTAGCTTACCAGAAAAGAATGCAATGACACATCTGACAACTTCAGGATGATAAGCCTTGTTTTCTGACTTAATTAGCATCTGCTTCACGAAGTCCCTGACCCTCTTGCCCCTTACATCATCACTTGCAGAAAAAATTCTTTCTACATATTGTAACTCTCTAACCAGCATCTCGATCCTCCATTGCCGCGCACATGTTCGAAATACTTCCTTCACAAAACCAAACATCTCTGATGGGTGTCCGCAGGCAGCACAGTGAAACTGCATCTCAGTAGTTCCATATGCCCTTGAAGCACTTTGCCCCTTTCGAATAAGAGAGTGGCGTAGGCCACAGTCTGTGTGGCACCAATGAAGACATACATCACAACCAACCCAACTACAAGTATTAGACGCTGAGTCGAACTTTGAACAGACAATGCACATGCAAGAACTACAGAAACCAGTCTTCCTCTGACAAATCTTACAATCACAATCATCCACTGGCAGAATGCTTTGGCATGAGAGATTTCGGCATTTCAAGTTGAGAAAAATGTCAACCAAATTAGATGTAGCAACACTACTACTTTTCTTTATAAAATATGGAAGGTCAGTCCTTATAGCAACAAGTATCTCCATCAACAGACGTGGACATGATCGCAACATATCAATATTCAAGTCAGATCTTTTCTTGAGTGCCTCCTGCAAAGCAATTATTTGTCCTCTTTTATCTGGATCAACTATGATTTCAGAAATGGCCTCCCTCAAATAAGTTATAGAATTTTCTGTCATCTCTTGAAGCATCCTTCCTGTAAGATGCAAAGGTTCTGAAACAACCTTGGAAATAATCCTCTCAATGACACCAGCACCATTAATGACAAGTTGTCCCTCCTCCTGCCGTTCACCCCTTGGAAGGCTGTTGCTACTTCTCTCTCTTGTAAGTTGCCTTCTATGTCTATTATGTTCCAATCCAGAGTCGTGAGAACCACGACTATGTGTTGGCGACAAAACTCCTGGGATTTGTCTCTGTAGGTCAGTGGATATTCCGCTGTTATGCCCTTTTATCCCAGCCAAAGTGCTATTATCTGCCATATGGCCATTTTGGAGTACTCTCTGAAGGAGTGGGGTAGCACTCCCCTTCTGTGTAGATTCACTAGATAGCTGAGCTTGCCTTCCTGTGTGATTGCTCGTCTGATCAACTCCCATAAAGAAAGGTTTGCTGCCTACTGAATGCTCATAATTGTCTAATGACTGTTGGGTGAGTGAGCAACTAGGATTGTGACCAAGTGTTTGAGAATTGGTCAATGGTATTGAAGTTGGGAACCCATCTGAGTTAGTGAGGAAAGATGATGACGGTAATGGCTGAGAGCATGCTGCATGGACTAAAGAAGCAGCTTTAGGAATCGAAGACTTAGATCCAGAATTCTGTAAACAAACTGATAAGCTCAATGACAAATCAAGTTTCTCTAGCTTGATTGTGTCATGTTCTGTCTTTACAACAGTGGTTGAAGCAGATTTTGATGTTTGTGTTGGTTCTGCCCCAAGCTGCAATGTTGATTCAAGACCTCTTCCCAGTGAACTTGAATGATCTACTTTAACTTTCTTACTAAGGACATCAAATGCTATGCCATTTCCTTTATCTTCAGTCATCTCCCTTGTCATTAGATTTGTACTGGAAACCTCTTCCTTACTACCCCCAGCATGTTCTTTCGTTTGTTTAAGGAACATATGGGCACAGTCAGATTTGGCCTCGATATCAAATCCTTTTACTTGTTTCTCAACATTTTCATGCATAACAGATGCCTCCTTTTCTACTATCATGGTTTCCTCTGATGTACCTCTTTTCCCACAATGATGCATCTCAAGTTCCCCTTCTAGAGGCTGAGATGTGATATCTTCTGTTGGCTCATCCATCTCTCCAATTGCAGTTAATTTTTTAAATTCTTTACTTTCAGGAGCCTGTTGGTTTTGAGAAACCATCACCTCTCCCTGCAGCCCAGTAGACATATTACTCTCGCCAATTGAATTAACAGCACTGGAGGTTACTTCTCGCACAACTGCTTTACCGAGCATCACTTCCTCCACCATATCGGATGAATTACTTTGTTCTGCTACAACAGTGGTAATGGCAGTTTTATCCATTGTCAGCTCTCCTTCATGCATGGCTTCCTTAAGCATACCAGAATAACTGACCGGTTCTACAGTATCGATATTATGGGCAGTTCCATCCAATATTATCGTTTTTTCCTGCATTGCCTCCTGCGGCAGATCAGAAGTGCCAGTATCAACCATATCAACAACATCGGCACTTCCATCATGTTGCATCACTTCTTCCTGAAGAACTTCCTGCAGCATATCAGAGGAAGCTCTATTCACAACCTCATCAACAGCATGGGCAGTACTGTCTAACTCCAACACTGCATCCTGTAGCACTTCTTGCTGCATGAGAGGTGAAATGCTCTTGGCAACCTCAATAGCAGCATTGGCAGTCTTGTGTAATGCCATCACTTCCTGCGCAGCTTGACTAAAACTGGATGAAGCACTCTCTCTGACTTCATCAGTATCATTGTTAGTTTTATCTCTTGTTGTTGCTTCTTCCTGAGTACCCTCCTTCAGCATAGTAGAGGAAGTGCTCTCCCCAACCATGTCAACCGAATTGGTAGTCTCTTCTTCTGGCTTCACTTCCTCCTGCAGCACTCCTTGCTGCATGGGTGATGTGGTTAGCCCAAACTTACTAGCATCAGTGGTAGCCACACATAGTGCTTGTACCTCATGTCCTCCACTGACTTCCTCTGTAACCATCGTTGAAGACTTCTCACGCGCTTCATCCATTGCTTCAGCCAGCAGTATACCATCCCTTTTCTTGCCTTCCTCCTCCTTCGCTGCATTGTCAGCATCAGATGCACTAGAGGCTCCATTAGCTTGACCTCCCAAATTTGCTTGGACCCCAGAATTCAATTTCTTCACCTTACCTTGCTCCAGCCCCTTCTCCTTAACACGGCTTGGCTCAACCTGCTTCCGATGCTCCACGGCAGCAGGCCTGGCCTTGGGCTCAGCATCTGATGCGAGCTCCCCTTCCTCCACCTCATTGACGCCGGCAGTGTGATTCCTCAGCTTCTCTGTCTTGGCAACCTCAAACCTCCTTCTCGGCTCACTGGGCGACCGTGACCGTGACCGTGACCGCGACCGCCGCGGCTGCCCAGGCAGCGATGGCGCTCCCAGCCTGGCGGGTGCCCTGTACTCGTCAATACACTCGGCGTCCCTCCACCCGCTTCGCGGCGGACGCCACGTCGAGCTGCCGTCACCATCCCGCCGCGACCTGTCACGCTCCGACCGGAAACCCTTGGGGAACTCCCGGCGGAAGCCAGAGAAGCTCTCGGACCGGTGCATCGCCCGGTCCCCACCATACTCCCTTGGGGAGGGGTACTCTCGGTACCGGCTGTCGTGGAACCTGTCGCCGCCGCCACCGAACCCCTTCCGGCGATCGAACCTGTCGCCCTCGTACTCCCGCGGCGGGCGCCGCGGCGGTGGGGGCGGCGGGGGCCCGCGGTCGTAGAACCTCCGCCGGTCGTCGTCCAGGCCGTCGCCGAACGACCTCTGCCGCTTCATGCCGCCGCCGAAACCAACCCCGGCCCTCGGATTCACCGAGAAGGGTGCGGGTGGGGTTGCTCAGGGGAGATAAGGAAAGCCAGGAGCAGCGCTCACGGGGAAAGGCGTGCGCGAGATGGTCACCGCTCCAGCCGCATCCGCATCCGCTGCCGTCCCTCTCCTCTCGTCGTCTCTAGCCGCCTCCGCTTGCTTCCGAGTCACTCCTCTCGCTCGCTCCCGGCCACTGCCTCTAGGTCGCAGTCAATGGCCGTCGCCTGGATTTGGACCCGGGTCCGAGATTTCTCCCCCGGCTCACCGCGGTAACAGAGAAATGCCCCGGTTTCTACCGCCGAAGGTGGTGGGTAGGGGGCTAGGGTCAGGGACACCGGACACGCGGCTCCTGCGTCCCCGGCGCCAAGCGGCTTGCGTGCCACTGACTTTCGGGCGTGCGGCTCGCCAGGGCCCGCCGTCATCGACCGAGCAGGGGCCCGGTACAGAGAAGATGTGGAGGTGTGGGTGGAGACGTGCAGTCTGCGTCCACTCCACGTGAGAGCTCCGGACTGGCAAAGCGCAGGGCGCGAGATCCGGGGCGCGCGGGCGGAACAGGCAGCGCGGGTCGGCGCCGCAGCCGCTCGGCGCGTGGCGGGAGGACGGGAGCGTGGACGCGCGGGATAGGGTGGCGGTGGTGGTGGGTGTGGTCGAGGTGGTGGTGAGTGATGGGATGCGGCGGGGAGGTGAGTTGATGCCTCGTGGGTGGGACGAGTCGGAGAGTGGGGGAGGTGTGGGTCAGCTTTTTGACTGCTGCTTCCCTAGGTCGGAGAGAAGAGGAATCGCCGCTTGGACCTTTTTGACCTCCAGGGTCCGTCATGGCGTCATCCGCAGTCCGCGCTCCCCCGATGGAGAAAGTAGTTGGGTCGGGCTTCGTTCCCGGACACATCTCGGACGGGCTGCCCACCATTGGCTAAGAGCCCAAGAACTTGTGTAACCCTTTCTAAAGTGACGGCCCATCACTTCCAGTGGTTAACATCAATAACACTAAGGGCGTGTTTAGTTCCGAATTTTTTTTTTGCTTTTGGCTACTGTAGCATTTTCGTTTATATTTGGTAAAAATTGTTCAATTATGGATTATTTAGGCTTAAAAGATTTAACTCGCTGAGTTCATGTGATGGGTATTAGCAAAAAATTTTGGATTCTGGGAGAAACTAAACTCAGCTGAGGCCCATTTAACTAGATCCAGTCAAAAAAAAAAGCTCCAATACTAGAATCCAATACTAGTAGAAATAATACATCTTTTAACTTTTGAAACATGACAAATACTCCTTTTGACCATTTCAAAATAGTTTCTTACATGGTTTTGATGATGTAAAAGAGGTTCACATGTCATGTCGTCTTTCTTTCTATATATAAAAAGTTCATACTTTTTATAAAGATATTGTATATCAAAATTATAAAGATCAATGTGATCTACAACTTCGCAAGTGACAACTTTTTTATTTGATATCACTTAGATGCCCAAATATTTGCTATAAATTATCAGATTTTGAAATTTAATTTTTTGATTTTTTTTAAACCACTTCAGGATGTTGACATAATATACACAAATGTTGTAGATCTCAATATGATTTACAACTTTGTAGTTGACAGATTTTTTTGTATGTGTAAATATTTATTTTAAGTTAAAGGATTTTGAACTTCATATTTTAACATTTTTCAAACCACTCGGATGTTAATATGATCTATACTAGAGGTGTGCCCTCAACCCGATCTACAAATTTGTAACTGATCATTTTTTTAAGATTGTTTGGGTGCCTAGTTATTTGCTTTTAAGTTATTAGAGTTTGAAATTCAAAATGTTAATTTTTCAAATGACATTGAATTGAATGGAGAGACTCTCTATACCAACGTTGTAGTGCTCGATGAGATCGAAATATTTCTTGTTAAAATTGCTTCATTTAAGATCATTTAAAAGCTTAAATATTCAATAAAATATGACATGGCTAAAAAAACATTGTCCGCCCGTCCCAAAACAAGAACATGAATCTCATCTCTCAAGGAGTCAATTAATTTTGACCAAATATATAAGAAAGAGCATTGATGTTTATGATACGTAATAAGTATCATTAGATAAATCATGGAATATATTTTCATAATAAACTTAATTGAAGATTCAAATGTAGATAATATTTTCTATAAATTTAGTCAAATTTTAGATTATTTGAGCTCTTGTGAAGCGAGATTTACATTATTTATAGGACGTGGGGAGTAACATGTAGGGCTTACATATCACATCAACCAAAACCACACGAGAGCAACTTTAAAATAATTCGCAAAGAAACAACTTTAAAATAGTTAAGGGGGGCATTTTACTATTTTGTCCAGTTTTAAAAGTTAACGACTTCTGATTTCAGTATTGAAGTCTGAGGTTTTCAAACTTGGCCACGAGTTCAGGAAACAACTGTAGATATTTTTAGTTCCATCATTTTTCCCGTTATTTCCTTTGGATTTACCTTCCAGAAAACAACAAAGAACGTCTCGTTTGGATAACTTTCATGATCTGAAGAAAAACAAAACACTCAACGGAATGTTGCGGATGTCTGACCAAGTTTCACATTTGAATCACGAATTCACGATCACTACAGCGTGAACTTGCTTCGGGCAACCGCCTGCTCTGCTTCAGGTACTACATGCCACGCTTACATGTCGCTGTCCTTTCTCCTCCTCCTCTCATAGTCTGCGCCTACTTATCCGTTCTCCCTGGAAAGATCAACAGACGACCCCATCCCCAACCCACAAGCTAGATCTGATCGACCGTCCACGCGTTCATGCATGGCTTCCCTGGGCATGCTTACCACCAGGACCACTCCACATGTTTCGGAAGGCTGCCGGCGACGATGTAGCAGCGCCGTGTCTAGGCCGAGATCCTACTTCCTCTGCCAAAGTCGCCTCCCGTCCGGGCCGCCAGCAAGCGGCGGTAGAGGAGGAGGTGGTGGTGAGAAGAAGACCCCATGGTGGGCTGCCACGGCCGAGAGGCTGCGCGGCGACGTGGTGAAGGCGGGGATGGCGGCGCGGGAGAGCCTGAGCCCCAAGCAGAAGGGGGACTGGAAGGACGTCACGCTCATGAGCTTCTCCTTCGCCGTGTACGTGTACATCTCTCAGAAGCTCGTGTGCACGTACTGTGCTTGGCTCTCTATGATTAATCACTAACTTGGTGCTGTATTCATCGATACCATTGCCGATCCACGACCACGAGCTAGATCAGATGCATATGGATGCTGTACCTGTAATATATTTCGCTCCAAATCCAACAAAGCCTCAGTTGCCATTGTTACTTGTACTTGCGTCATTATACATAATGAAATTTCATTTTAAAGCTAAGTTGATTCGGAATTTGACTCGAGCTCATACACCGACATCATCAAATCACGTAGTCATAGAACACAATGAGCAAAAATTGGAAAATTAGATGGAGCAGGAACAAAACTGCACATATATTAGCAAAAAGAAGCCGTTACATACATATCTGACCTATGCCATGTTCGCTTGGCTGTTAAGCCATGACTGAAAGCACCGTTGACTAATTTGTTGAGTACGACTTATAAGCCAAGCAAATAGGACGCTATTCGTCGACACTGTACTCCGGGCAAATTAACTCCGTCTCAGGCTCTCAGCTCACTTACTGACTACTTATAATTATTACTACCGATCTGACGAGAAGTCAGGCCTCGTTACTCATCAGTGGGTCATAAATAAATTTATTTATTACGTAGATGCTGATCGATGCTACTGTGGACGCCAAACTGAAAGAGTTCTCTCTTCCGCTTACGCCTGAATCCTTCGCAGTTTCGCCGCAGCAGCCCATCACTCACTCAGGTCACAGAACACACCGCCACCCATGCTCCTCGGTCCTCACCGATGCCGCGGCAAGCTGATGTTGCCGATCTCCTGGAATGGCGACCGCTTCGGGAGCACGCTGCTGGGTGAGTGCTTCACGCGGCAGATGAGGACGTGCTTCTTGATCTCCTCCTTGCCGGGTTCCTGGGATCGCTGGTGCTGAGGCTTTGCTCTTGGGTTCTCCATCTTGCACGCATCTGACCATTGGTTTTGGTTAGGAATAGGAATAGCAGCTGGGGTTGGTAAGTGGGCTTTGAAAGTGTGTAGCTTGCTTTCGAGCTCTGAAATCTTCCTATGCAGCTCTTCCACACGCTGTTCGGACGCTTGTGCCCGATTTTTCCACTCCAGTATCTGCCACATGTCGAAAATTTACGATTAGATTGACTATCTCACTGACGGACATCGACAAAAGGAGAATTGGCAGGGTAGGGTAGTATCGAAAGATCACGATTTCCGTAAAATACCATCGAAATTTTGCTTTCTTATAAAATACCACCAAAAGATTGAACCGTGAACTGAAAATAGTATTACGTTAAAATAAAGCGACAGAAGTGACGGAACGCCGCGAACAGGAACGGCTCCTGCGGCACCACCGGCACCACGTGCCGCAGCGCCCATGCTTGCGCACGTCCTTGCCGTCCGGCTCTCGCCCCGCCAGTCCCCCCAGCGCGACGCCTCTCCCCATCTGATCAGTGTTCCTGTAACCTCGTGGGATGGAAGAGGAGGACGAGGCCCTACAGTGAACGTCCTCAACCGCCGGTGACATCAAGGCGTTCGCGCATTGCGCCCTCGCCTCACGTTCTTCCGCGCGTCTTTGCTTGCTTCGACTCCGTCTTCCGCTTCCGACGACCGCCGCCCTCCTCCTCCTCTCTTGTCGGGCTCGACTCCGCACAGCTTCGTCGCGCGCGGCGCGCGTCATCCACATGATAGCCACACGCCGCCGCCCTCCTCCTCCTCTGCTGGCGTCTCCTGAGGCTCCGAGCCATCGCCACGCCCGCCAGCGGCGGGCGCTCCCACCAGCTGATCCACCACTGCGCGCCGAGGTGCTCAAATCAGCAGCCGGCGCCTCCACATCGGCGCCACGACGATGGCGTGCTCCCTAAAGTGGAAGGCCGACTTGCTCCACCCTC